CTGTTAATTCGGACAATCATAATTATAATACCCGACACAAAAGCTGCCTTTTATACCCTAAACATAAATCCTCAACTTTAGAATCTTCTCCCCACTACTCTGGTGTTAAGTTTTACAATAACCTGCCTGATTCGATTAAATCTGCAGCTTCCGTTAAGTCGTTTAAAAAACAGTTATTTAAGTTTTTATGTAGTAAATGCTGTTATAAGGTAAAAGATTTTTTCCATTGACTCTTATACATTAGTTTTAAGATATTTGTTTTATCACGATTATTGTATTGACGCTATTTATGTATATTGTGTACTAAATGATTAAAGGATAATTTGATTTGATTTGATTTGATTTGAATGCCACCAGAAAGACCAAGAACTGTTAGGGGCTGGAGGGAGCGAACGTGAACGTTTGCATCGACCTCCCAACGGAACATTTGACGGGTACAGAGGGCAGTACCACTGTGGTGATACATCCAACCTTGGACAAATGAACATTAAAAGTTAACATTGTGGTGGCTTACATTTTTAGCATGAAAAGACTGGCCGAGACAGTTAAATTGTTGCCATAAATGAAATGTTAGTTTTTTGCGGAATTCACCACACTTTCAGGAACTTATTTGGAAACTCCCAATCCAAAAACAGGGATGTAAGATTTAGATCCCTAAATTATTTGAATACAGTACAATTCGTCAATTCAATTCCGCCTTTGCCATGGTCAGCTCTCAAGCTCATTAAGATGAGAGGATCGACAATCTTAAGATCCATGACGCGTTTTGCCACCGAGTAGGTCCTTTAATTCCTCAAGAGGGTCATGATCCTGAATACCTACAGATGTATAAATACGACGTTCGCCCTGGAACCTAACAGAGCATCAACACAATTAATTAAAACAAAAAACTCAATTAAAAAATATGCGGGAAGCAGGGTCACGATGCCAACCCATTTGCCCAATTTGTAGGGACGAGACCTCCAAGGAGTCAAGTGAGATTCTTATGTACATAATAAAGGTGTACATAATGTACAAAAGAAGTGATTCCCCTCGGTACAATGATGCTACCTGTTAGATGTCGCAGCTATTTTTAAGCTGAAAAAGCACCACCTGGCCATAAATCATAGTTTTTTTCGTTAGATCCACTTATTTGCCCTCTCACGTTCCCAACCGGAGACTTTGGTTGGGGCGCCTAATTTAAACACACATCAAACCGAACATATCGTAGAAATAATTTAACAATGCTATAGAACGTGTGTGTCGTACTGTTTGGCGTCAAGAGATGTATTTAGCTTACCACATTAGGTCTGAAAAGCTCACTTTACAGTGTGTGGTTGTGGTTGTCATCTACTTGCTCATAGAGTGCACTGGCTTCTGTACATAAGAGATAACCATAGCAATATGAGACCGGATCTATATTTCAATATTGTAGATTACTTATATAATCTTTTACAACATATTTCTAATTCTATAATCCGTCATAGATATTACTTAAGAGTGACTCTTTGATTGAGCTCTTGCTGTTAATGATTGGTTCTATATTCTCTTATTACAAGTAGCAGTTTTGCTCGATTTCGAGCAACGTGTTATCTAGTATATATAAATACCTCCGCCGCAGCAATCCTGCCGACTCAGCGAATTTCCATTTGTTTGAATTGATTTTCATAAAAATTAATTCTTTTAAAACGCAGGATAAGAGCCTAGGTTTATACGACATTGATTATAAAATTTTAATCAATATAATATCCATGAATAAACTTATCACGCAGGATCTAGTCTGGAAATAGCTGTTCCACTAGCTTAATCGGACGGGGTTTCATTATACACTATTATACTGTATTGAGTTTTTACCAGACACCAACCAGCTGATTATATTTAAGAACAAGTGATTATAAACAAAAACATAACCTCTCTTTAGGAGATATGGGTAGTGATTGTTAGTCATTTAGTCGGTGGAAATATATCAGGACTTGTACAGATTTTTATTGTTACGTTTACTTAGAGTAGTATGACATAAAATATAGTATGCAACTCGGCTAAAATGTGTTTATTGGACCACACTCGTCCGGTAAAAACCTATTTCCAGAACCAGAAACTTAATATACTATTACAGCATTTCACAAATATTAGAACAGACTCAGTATAGACTAAAAACATAACAAACTTAAAGAATCCTATACTAATGACATTAACATATAGAATAAAATCAATATTTATTGTACAGTGGTAATAGCAGCATTATAATTTGGGAATATAAAAAAATTATCACACAGGGTTAATTAAAACACTCTGAACCTTAATTAATTAATTAATTCATAAAACCTGGATTAATTTTTTATTTTTGTATATTATAATTATTTGCCTGTGACAGTTCTGCTTGTTTACATTCAAACTGTGTGGGTTTGTCCTTCGTTATCATTGATACCAATCAATATTTACTTTAAAAACTCTAACCTCAGAACTTGAATGCCCACGGGACAGAGCCCTAGGTCAATATCGGAGCGGGGACAGTTCTATAAGTATCCTCGTAACTGTAGCTTTATTTTTGGTCAATTTGAGCCCAGCTTTATAATACTGTAGTAAGATAAATCCAACTATGTGATATTTGTCAGGTATTTACAAACACGTATGTACACACAGAAGTAAACAATACGCCTATCGTTTAAACGGTAATTTCATATTTAGACAAAATAGCTAAGCCCCTTACAAACACTCAGGCGTAAATAATCCCTGAAAATAGTTCTGACCAGGAACGGAACACGTTGTATCCAAGATTGGTTAGTTTGACTAATGTATCATTTGATAAAAAAAAACTAAGTTAATAGTTTTGGTAATTGCCCAAAGTATTACCCTCCAGGTAATATTACCATAGACTAACGTATGTTTTAGCCATTATATTACAAATACTAATTAAATAACAAATTACCATTGAATTTGCAATATCATATTTAAAATTCAATTAAATAAATTACGATATTTGGTTGCTAATATATTAGAAAATGTTATATCAAAGTAAAAGCACAGGATACCTTACAAACAACGGTCAACTAAGAATGAAAATAAATGTATGAAGGTTATTAGGAATAAACTTATCCGACTTTACGCTGTATTAATAGAAGCTGGCAAATCTCTGTTATCATAATTTAAAATTGATCTGGACGCAAACATAAACACATTCTTCACACAGAACATATGTATATGTGTTTAATGAAAAACAATTGAATGCAACAGAAAAAATAAGACAACAAAGAAATCATTTACCCGAAAATCGACTCAGTCATAACTCCAGTATGTTTTATCTATGCTCAAACGTTTAATCTATGTTTAAATAATTGTTGTACAGCATTTATCTGAGTTTATGACAAATCAATTCAGTATTTAAATCAGCTTAATTTTGAAGCCGTGTGCTACTTTTAAGATGCCAGTTTATTGCTGAAAAGTACTTTAATTATTGTAGACAATCAATTATTTAAGATGAAAGAAAAGTAGTACTGTGTGAATTAAAAATCAATTATATTTGAATCATGAAATAGAATAAATTAATGATTTACGAATCTAATGTGATTAAGTGTAGGCCTACATAATATTTAGACATTTTACCAGGGATTATTTACAAAATTGTACAAAAATAGGGACAATCCATTTTAATTATCTGATTAATTGAAACAATTTTGAATGGCACTAGGCTATAATATAATTGTGTAACAGGGTTTTACAACTGGGTTTTACTGCCTTCCCTACTGCTGTTCGCCGCTCCTGGGTACTGGAGGCTGTGAATTCTGTCGGATGAGCGACACACTTGGACTCTACCACTGCCTATATACCTGCGACCTGCGTGTATCACACGTGATCGACTTGCGGCTGCCACTGTCACACTGAACCGCACGGTATCGCGACCGGATGTGTATTGTCGAGGTGACTGTGTGATTGGGGCCCCATAACTTGGTGAGTGACTTCAGATTTCAATATCTCGTGATTATTTTCGGCAATGGAAACTGGGACTGTCATCGATACAGCACAATGGATTTATAATCTGGATTCTCGTTCAACGAATCCTTTGTTGTAACTATTTCTAGCTTATAAGATATTTATGTCTACTTTGTTTTGTTTAGGTGTTCCGGTGGCCACCGTCAGGACATGTCTATTATGTAAATAATTTAAAGAATTGTGAAGTAATTAAGTGTTCTCTGATACTTTAATTTGTTTGTTTAGCGATAAGAATATCTTTGCCTATCTAAAAATTCTTGGGAACTATTTTAGTTGAGAACTATCTGCTCCTTAATATCCTAGGAGATTATTGAATTTATTTAGATTGTTGTTTTGATATTAATTCTAAATCAACGGAGAGCCACGATTAACTGATTAAGAATCTATTCTTTTGTTATCACTGAGACAATTGAGTTTGGAATTTTTTATAACATAATAAATTTGTGTCTCAGCATTCAGTTTTGAGTACTTTTGTTTACCTTTGGCTTTAAACAGGTAGCATAAGATTATTACTTGGGAAGTACAAAGAAAGATTTCAATTTAACATAATGGTTTAGTTTGACGATTTTTTGAACAATTCAAGGTTTGTTAAGACACGGCCAATTAACATCTTACGTTTAACTTGACTTCTGGGAAGGATTTGGGGTTCCTTGTTACCCTCCTGCTGAACCACCCTCAACAAGGTGGCGCCTTCAAAATACAAATAATTAATAGTGTCATCGGCAAGATTGCTCTCAGTCAACCCCGCCCCTCACCTGAGCTACCGGGGACCCGTGTAACAGAAAGTCTTGGTGCATGCTGTTACAGGTTAATTAATGAGTGTTTACAAAATTGTGTCCGTTAAAAGAGTATTAATGAATTATAAGTAGGCCTATACAATTTTCAATACTATATATTTTTATGCATTGAAAAAATAACATCCCATACTTTAAGATCAATAATCAATAACCCTTAGAGTATCAAAATTACATTTCGTATTGATTTTAAAGTTACAATTTCTGGATGTAGGAGGATAATGAAGATTTTCCATATATCTTTTTACGTTTTATTCAAACAAATCCATAAAGTCCAAAGCTTAACAGAGATATCTAAAATTAATCATCTTTAACCCCAAAACTAATATAATGGACTGTAAACAGACTCTAAGATATTCGTTAAAACTAACAATTTTAACTGTTGCTAAGATAAAAACAATTTATACACATTTAAAAAGTAATTTATGTATTTTATGTTTCGGATATTGGTTTTAGTAGAATGCATACCTGTTAAGGGTGTGTATTCTAAAAATGGTTTTTTAACTGCCAGTTTCGAAACATGGACTTGGCCTATACAATCGTTTTATTCAACTGGCTGAATATGATTTGTCAATTATGTATTTGTAAAACTATAATTATAGGAACTAAAGAAACATGTCAAAATTTCACTTATCACAGTTACGACAAAAGAGCATCCAGATGCGTAAAAATCAGAAATATAGCTTTAAATTATTAACTTATAATTACACTCTATTTATCTTTAAATAAGCATTCCCAAATAAACTATGCTAAACAACGATAACACTCATAACATCAATATAAAATATTAAATATATACACAAGTCTATTTATAAATTTTTAAAATAAAACCCAATCTAAACTTTCTAAACTATAAAATGATTTTGGCAACCATACAATAAGATTAAGGATTTTAAAACATCATACAATTTATTTATCTGGCATATATCAGTCACAAACGTTTCTTGTGGAAGTACAAAATCCGTGATCATGTTAAATACGAGTATAACACGCGTGGTAAGAATTTTGTAATCATATTGCTCAGCTAGCAAAAAATACCCAGCGATCGTAAGAAATTGTGCGTTTAAAAAACAAATATTCCCTCATATGTTAGATTTTTCTATTAGGCTTTAAAGTGTTCCAGCTTATTTTTTTTGCCACAAACCTTCTACATTCCTACAGGAGAATTGTCAAGACTTCTAAGCTAAGATACTTATACAAAGTTAAAATGCCTAAGTCTGGTACGCACTAAAGATGAAATAGTCGTATGTAAGATTAGGATTAGTATGCTTTTGTAAAATCAGTACAAAGCATCATAAATAAGTAGTATTCATTGCGGCTTGTAGGCAGTTTAATTTTATTGGAAACATAAATATGAAAATCACATAGGCCTACTGTATTATAAATATCATTAATAAAAATCATTTATACTTAACAAAAATATTATTTTGTTTTTATTTCTTATACATACTTTATTGTTGTAGGCTAGTTAGTCTGCCTACTGCGAGTTATTTTAGATAAGGATTCATCATCTAATAATAGTGTTTTAAACAATATGAAACTAGAGAAAGTGAAATCGTAAAAAAATAGTGTGAATAAGTTATGTTGTATATTTATTGGCTTTTCTAAAATTGTTTTAAGTTTGATGAATGAAGTACTAGTCTAATCCCTTTTCAGAAGAGTATGTGAGCAAACATGTGCTTGTGAATATAAGCCTTAAAGTGCATTAGGTAAAGAACATACGTGCATAACTTCCACTCTACAGTACTATATATAACTATCAATATTTTATGTTGACATTGGATGTACAGGTTTGGCAAGCAGAGAGACTGAATCCATAACGACCTCCTTCCTTTGTTAATCCTAATTAGTTAACCAACAGTTTATTTGTTTACGTTCAGGTTAATAGTACAGCAAATAAGTTAAAAAAAACACAGCTGGAACTATTGATTACAAAAAAATAGACCTATACAAAAATAAATGTAGTTTGGATATATTCAAATTGATATGTTCTCTAAAAATAAATATTTGAATATTTAACACGTTTTAACACAGTTGTTCTCTTTTGTGAAAAATCAAAATTAAATTACAGAGAATATTGACATGGAAAAGAAATGATCAGATTATGCTTTTATACGGGGTATTTCGGCTATACAGAAGTAACAATGTAACTAGCCTTACGAAAAATGCTGTTGTTTTTATATGAGGGGTAGTAGGTACCAGTATAAACACTTAAGTTGGATGGTCACAGAAATATGTCTTGTTGAAGGTGTCTCTGAAGAATAGTTTACTTCCTGTTTTACTTCCTGTCCCTAATGGACTACCCACAATATTTGGCATCCGCTTACTACTTTTACTCTACCGATAATATGAAATAAAAACGCGAGAACAGGCCCGGGATCACCAGTCTTTGAGTATGCAAAAATCCGGTTCTGGGACAGATGGCCTTGAAACAATGACGACATTCAAGCTGGACACGTGGCGGAACCGGAACCGCTCTTGTATGTTCACAAATCCGTTTACGGATAAGCTTATGCGCTGGTCTCTTCTTCTTGATTGTGTTTGGCCAGTGCCAACAATATCATTGTGAGCTCTTTCTTGTTTATTTTCCCGTCCTGGTTGTAGTCGACTCCTTGTAGAATCGTTTCCTCGAACTCGTGGAGGTCTTGTGCGTCGTAGTCCTGTAAAAAAATTACAAAATATGAAGTAACAATAAAAAAAATCCCTCCAATATTTCAAGTTAATTCTTTTTTCAGACAATTACCTTCTTTACAAGTTCAAGGAGATCCTTTAAGAATCCTCTTAGCTCCTCATTCTCGATCGTTCCGTTGTTGTCCTGAAAAAAAAAATGGTTTCTGGTTGAAAAAAGATCAGATTAAATTTGAGGGGAAAAATATCAAATTACATGATTAAATTCAAATACACAAGAATAAACTAGATTGTTGGAAGCTGGGGTTGGATCTTCGCATCAGTTACCGCAGATTTCACAGATCAAATGTTAAATAATCCGGTTATCGTAATCATTATCTTAAACAATTTTCATAACACAAATAAATATATTTTATAAATCCTGTCATGTGTATTTTTTTTTATTATTCTGTTGTTCAAAACCACATTTTAGCAAATTCCCTATAGGGAAGTAGCTATTACCGTAGGTGGCATGGTAAGACCTAGGTCCGGGCCCGATTAACTTTTTCATTTTGATGTCCCCAGAGGCAAAAAACCTATGTATGTAAAAATATATATACCGGTATATACAGGGTGTCCACAAAAACTTTTCAGGGCTTTGGGAAATGAATCCTCATACTAAAAGGAAGTAAAAAGTACCTGTGAAATGCATATTTACCCAGATATCTGCCATTTTGATTTTTATACAAAAATATTTTTATTTGTGGAGTTTTTCATTAGATGATTATGAAATTTGGCAAGCATGTTAACTAACATGAAAGACCTAATATAGAAAAAATAATTTAGTTGGTTCCATTGTAAATTTTAAATTAGCGGTTGTTTGAATTTGTATAACTTGAATAACTCAAAAACGGCTAATTATATGAAATAATGTCAGGAATACTCACTTTAGCATTCCTTATTCCCTATCAAACGATAACAAGATCAAAAAGATCGGACGACAAATAACTAAAGTAAGTTTTTCCCCGAATAACTTTGCCTTATTTTTAATTGTTTTTATTAGCTCGCTTTCTTGTCAGGTACAAATTTTGGAATCAATTTTAACCAATGAATCAATTTTTAGATGAGCTTAGAGACTTGAAACTTGAATCATAGGTCAAAAATTGATGACAATGCAATATTATATAATGTTATTTTCATATTTCCCTTGGGCTAAGCCTCATGGGCTTCCAAAGTTTCAATCTTTACTTTTTGGAAGCTTGTAAATAGTCAAATACAGTATATACAAATAGTGTAATTGAAGTCAGCTGTAAATACGTTAATTTGGCAGTTTGTTCAAAGAGCAGCGGTTTAGAGGTACATGTTCTGCTCAAGAGAGGTTCTAAATTACGAATACCAGCTGATGTTAGTGTTGCTAATGATTTATTGCGAGTGAAGTTGGAAGGATTTGTGATTAAATGTAAAGAAAATTGAACTAAAGAAATTGATCATTTAAATTTAATAATTAATAGTTTTGCAACTTCAAGATTGAAAAAATAAAGACAAATATATGTAACTAAGGGAGTTGAGGGTAAATCATGTATGTGAAAATGTTATTTGAAAATTTGCTAGATTTTCACATGTCAGCCTTGCGCAAGATTTAAAATCAATCCAATCCAAAATGGAGGTTTCCACTTCTTACCAGATTAAAAAGCCACAAGTTTCTATAAAGGCCATAAAGGTTGAATGTTATCTCTAAAAGCGTTGGCGTTGGCGGATGTGTAACTATTTTATACCAGATGTACAGATCAAAATGTTTCTATATCGTGCCCTCTTCCTGCTGCAAAGCACGTGTACAACAGCTAGTTCAAAATAAAACATCTTATTAAAGATTAAAAGGTTTTTTCATGTATTAACAGGCCATTTAAATTAGATGTAACATATTTACACATTGAAGACTAAAAAGTAGTATATAATTTATAAATAAAAAACTTTTTAAAAGTACCACGTTTTTAAACGCACTAAAAAGTAGGAGATAATTCATAAATATGTTGAGAGAATAAATACTTGTAAGATTCAAAAAGAAAAACAGGGGCGCATGCAATGTATAAGGAGGGGGTAGCTGTTGATAGGAAACAAACAAATTCACACAGTACATCTAGTTTGTATAGTTTATATCTATATCTATATTTCCTAATTGAGGTAAAAAAATAGCTAAATAATAAAAAATTTTAAAAAAGTCCTCAAATGTTTTTTTATGGACACCCTGTATACATATATACAGGGTGATCAACTCAAGGAGACCACCATTAAGATATCGGAAACGGTAAGAATTAAAGAAAACTTAAAATGGGGGACATTCCTTTATTTGATGTGACAGTTAAAAATATGATTTTAGTTTTTTGCTATTCAGCCGCCGTTTTCCAATATGGTGGCCAACTTTGAAATTTCCTACAGAACACCCTATATTTTAACAGGTTTCTAGATAGAACATGCAATTCCAAAACTTTTTTATTCTTGAAATCTTTTCAATAAACCCACTCGTTTAAGAGTTACAGCCTATGAAAAAATGACTTCCTGTATACATTTTGCATCATCTAGCTCGTAAACGAGTAAGTTTAAAGCAAAAATTCAAAGAGTAAATATGCAAGAGTAATATATAAAATAAAGAGTAATAATGTATTGGAGGTGGTTGTGATACTACGACTACGATCAGCTGGTGCAGCGTTTCCAATTTCGTTCAATGCTTGGAATTAACCTAACCTAAAACATGTTGTATGGTGTTTGAAAGATTAATTATTTATATGCTTCATTGAAACTGTAGGAGAAATATAACGTGTAATGCGAGTTCAAAATTCATTTGCTGCACTCGAGAAACGTTCCACACTCGACTGTGGTTCGTGCTTAAACATTTCTCTCATGTGCAGCAAAGTGTCACTTTGCAAATAATACACAAATAATAACCATTGATACTATAGTAAATGTTTACGATATGGTTCAACTGAAGTTTAAATAATTAAATACAGAGCCCTATAACAAGTAACGTACTCACCAAAAATATTTACAAAAAAAAAAACTTGTTCTACAGCAGTAAACTGTGAACATTTAACCTATTCAAAATGTAATATTATCGGTGAATGCTGTAATGCAATACATGTAAAGTTATTCGCACGTCACATTATGTGGCTGCGAACAAAATCTTAACTACGGTCTGAAATTCAACATAAAATCTGACTAACTTACCCTATCGTAGAGGGAAAAGACTCTCTCAATATCATCCTTAGTTAACTTCGTGGCACCCTGCAACAATGGCAATTTAGAAAGAGTTGTTATTTCGTACACATTTAGTTTCATATTTATTAGTCTACTACTTATATATTTAACAATTTTGACCTTTTAAATTAATAAAAGTACGCACTGAAAATATAAATTCTGTCATATAACACATAAATATTTACAATATAATACTCTGTTATAATTTATGGTACTATATATCGGAAATCTAGGTTGCCATCTTCAAGCTAACTGAAGCATTTTCTTGGTGAAATATATTACCATAATTTTTTAGTTTACTGTAGTTCCTAGCAACATTTGCTAAAACCATTTTATATTACTATTGTTAAAACATAATTTATTTTAAAAAAGTAAAAAAAAAACTGTTATTTGTTCTTTTATAGCCATTAGAATAGTGTGTTTTTTCTCTTTCTTACATATTCTTTCGTTTCTACATTTCCTTACCCCCCTAGCAGCGAATCAGAATATTATTCTGTATCACAATTTAGTCCCATGCTTATATCACATTAGACCTATTTACAAGGGCTAGAGTGATACACATAGGCATATTCTTTTATTTTATTCTCTAAGGTAGGCCCTACACATGAACAATTTATTGATTTAAAAATGAATAATCTCCTAAAAATACATTTTTTTACATATACCGCCGTTGTATAATGTCTTATAGTTTACATGTAAATTGTATAAGTCTGACTTTTTGAATTATAAGAGTTTCAGGTGACCTTAATATATTGTAAATACTAAAGCTTTGTATGGCAGATATAGTGTTTCTACTTAGTGCGTACTTACAACACGTGCAAGATTATTATAAAGAAGTTGATGAATAAAAGTACGTAAAATTGAAATTCATTGAACATACTGTACCTTTCATTTTGATCCATACATGTAACGTAAAAACCATCTCTATAAAGCTATGTCTGTAACAAATTATCTATGCCCTACTGTACTTGTAAAATGAAATGACAGACTATTCAACCTAAAATGACTACTCGAACAAATACAAGAACTTAAAACCCTCAGTCTACAAAAACTACGCCACATTTAATACTACATTTGTAAGAATCTATATATTAATACTCAAGCAGTTTTCTTTTCACTGTCATAACTCAATAACGGCTTGATGGATTTTAAAGTTTGAGGTGTCAAATTAAAGGCATATTCACGTAGATGTGCAAATACGTCTCAGAATATTATGAAAGGGCGCCACTTAAGTACACTTAAGGTCTAAAAGTTTGGAAGGCGGCGCTATCTGTTGACATTTGATCAAACACATTTCCCTTTGTTTACAAATGACATATGGACGTAGTTTGAAATACTGTAGTTTTTAAGGTTAACCATAGATTGCAGGACTTAAAACTTCCAGAGCGAAGCTGGAATTTATATTTTGTTTTAATCTGTTAAATAAGTCTGGGTTCTGGTTCATAATGAAGAGTTTTCTATCAATACTAGACAACAAAGTGTTTAAGAATAAATATTTAATTCTTTTTGTCTATAATTGATATACCTTACATCGTATTTTACTGATTATTATGTAGTTACAGTTCGATGTGATGAAGTGAATATTTAAAAGTGATTATTCACAGGGCAGTTATCCGTTACATTACCATATTATCATGTAATTTACAATGTGTATCAAAATTCCAATTTATTTATAGTGTTTTCTGTTGTTTGGTTAACTTTCTTATTTCATTTCAATTTAAAATCAAATGCCGACAGCACGACGAAGAACTGTAAGTTGCTGGAGTGAACGCGAACATGACCGCTTGCATCAACCTCACAATTGAACATTTGATGGGTACATAGTGGTAGTACCACCGTTGTGATAGTCCAATCTCGGACAAATGAACGTTAAATGTTTACATTGTAGTGGCTTACATATTTTTAAGCAAGAAAAGACTGGCCGAGACAGTTAAGTTTGTACTCTTTGTTGCCAGTTGCCATAAATGAAAGGTTCGTTTACCTCATTTGTGCAATTCACCACAATAAACTTCGGGTTCTTATTGGAAACTCCCAATCTGAAAATAGGACTGTGAGACTTATATGCAGAAATTATTTGGATAAAGTTCGTCAATTCAGTTCTGCCTTTATCATGGTCAGCTCCAAAGCTCATTAAGATGAGAAAGTTCCACAGGGGATCTACAATTTAAGATCCATGACACGTTTTACCACCGAGTGGGTCCTCTAATTCCACAAGAAGGTGATGATCCTGAATACGCACAGATATATAAGTAAGTACGACAATGTCACTAGAACCCAAAGGAGAACTAAGCACAATAAAAAAAATGCAATGAAAAAATATGCGAGAAATAGGGTCACAATGCCAACCCATTTGCAAATCTCTGAAGACTGTGGCAGACCTTATGTAGGGACGAGAGCTCCGAGGAGTCAAGTGAGATTCTTATGTACATAATAAGAGACAGAAGTGTCTTCCCTCGCTACAATGGTGCTGCCTGTGTAGATTTCGCAGCAATTTTTAATGCTGATACCAAAGCACCACCTGGCCAAATTTAAATATTGTAGATTGTTTTTATATTTTTTAACGTCACAATATTTTTATATTTCTATAATCAGTCATATACATTCATTTAGAGTGACTCTTCAGATTGGGAGTTTCCAATAAGAACCCGAAGTTTATTGTGGTGAATTGCACAAATGAGGTAAACGAACCTTTCATTTATGGCAACTGGCAACAAAGAGTACAAACTTAAAGTTACCAAAACAATTCATGGAACTCATCATTGTTAAGTTTTTGTTCATTGTTATCTGATGTCATTGTTATGAAGATTGCGAAAAAAAAATAAAAAAATCAAACGGTCAAAAATGACTCACACAAATTGGAATAAGGTAGGGACAGAGACAGGAAGACCACAAATCAAGAGAGAGAAAAAAAACAGAGAAAAGGCAAGGAATAAGAGAGCACTCAAAGATTAAGGGCAAGGAAAATTGAACACTGGTATACTTTTAGGTAGGCACAGTGTAAAGGAAAAGGGGGGGGAAAAAAGTGACTCTTTGATTAATGTCTTGCTGTTTATGTTTTTTTTTATACAAGTTTCAGTTTTGCTCGATATCGAGCAACATGTTATCTAGTATTTATTTAATCTAAGTACAGATGTAGATAATAAGCCCATAATGCACAAAATGGAAATGTCTTGATGACTTGATGCATAAATGTATCTGATGAATATTTAAATAATTGTTTAAACTTATTATTTATTGGAGAGGTCAGGGTTTATGAACTGTACAACAAATAGTAAACAAACAAAACTACAAAATATTTACTAGAAATATGTAGTATAAATAAATAATCAATTTTCAATCAATAATTATATAATAAAACTGATATGAAAGTAATATTAAACCAAGAATAAAAGATGAAACTTTATTTACATAAATTTCTATTTACAAAAAGTTGTTGCACAAAAAAAAATGTAACACAGGTATTAAAGATTAAGTTACTCAAAACATACCACTCAATTATTTTCTCAACACTTTCTCTAAAAAACTACAAAGCACCCATAACACTACAAATACGACTGAACATAAATTGCCTAATCTACAAGACAGTTTTGAAGAGAAGAGGAAACAAGAAAATTGAAGGAAGTCAAGTACTAGTAAAGATAAACTAAATCAGTAAGTGAATGATTGTCATTAAAACATGAAAATATCACAAAACACTATATACAGTATGGGGTATATAGTGTTTTGTGATATTTTCATGTTTGAATGACAATCATACTTTAGATCCAAGTATTTTACTAGTTGGTGCGTTAAACTACATATTTACAGTTGGATAGTGTGTGTAGTATATACGTGGGTTTTGTGTAAAGCCACAGACAAATCTAAAAAAAATCAAGATGTAAATTAATAGAATTTATATTTACCTAAATCGTTAAACTTGGCCACTACATATATATCAACATAATGACAATAGAGTTAAACAGTACCTATTACATACAACGATAATTTATAACTCAACTAATATCATTATAATAAAACCGTCAGAACTTTAAAGACTAATTTTATTCTATGACTTTTAGAAGTTGATTGAGACAGTTAACAAAAGAATTGGGTGTAAATCTTACTTACTCATATATACAGTGTGTAAATTAAGTCTTGAAACAAATTCGTAATTTTTAAACCGAAATAGATAGAAATATTCTTTTTGTGGCGTTGATTGTTAACAAACGTTCCGTAATTCTTTACATCAAAAATATTTTAACCCCCCTAACAGAGTGTAGGGGTGACTTATTTTTTTTCAAATAGCAATCCGTATTGAGTGACACCTCATGTTGAAGGATTTGTCAAAAGAAACACAATGACGCAAACCCGAGGTGGGTCCCTAGCCAAAATGAGTGTAGGAGCGCTGGCGACCCGGCTTATCGAACTCGTAAATTAAGGGGTCATTAGAGTGTCGAGGCGAGTGGAGAAGACTACCTGACATAAGCCTATTCTCCCCAACAGTACTATACCGGGTATTTCGCTGGGAGAAAGGGGTGGTCGAGTAAAGAGGGGTGGAAGAAGGAGAGAGAGGGTGAATGTGAGCTGTGGCGAGAGGAGAACAACACGAGAGCGTGGCCGTGTGTTGTATGCACTACAAGTAGATGCAAAGTAGTTTCTAAACAGAAAACAGAGCTTCCAAGAAAGTATCTATTGATTGGCGTTTGAAAGTTAATACTAATGCTAAAATTATAGATCTTTTTTTGTTATATAATTTTAAAAATATATGTGTAGCCTATGAAGCGTATATATATACAAAAATATTCTTACCTACAGTTGGATTTTTTAGCTAGAAGCAGTTAAGGTGTGGTGGAATATCTTTGAAGATGAACCTATTTAGCTGTAGTACGATAATGTGTTTATATGTGTCAAATTTTGAAGTTAAATCAAAACAAACAAACTGGCATTTTGGCAATTAATAATTAAGCATTTAGAGGCCGTTTTGTATTACTTACGAAAGAATTGCCATTTAAGATCAAATGAAATGATTTAGTATATTTCATTGTTTA